GCGGAGCAGGGTGGCTACGTAGTTTAAGAGCAAGCGGCCACAGGCCCTGGGAGACCAGAAGAAGATTTCCTGGCCATTCAGGTGAGATCCCCAGACTTGGAGGGGCTTGAGGATTGGGGGCGGGGGCGGAGAGGCAGGATGGCAGGCTGGAGGGGCCGCGGGCGAGGCCCTCTCTGCACTCTGATCCCGACCGCTTGCTTGCAGCATGGTTTCCCAGGGATCCTCGCCCTCCCTCCTGGAAGCCCTGAGCAGCGATTTCCTGGCCTGTAAAATATGCCTGGAGCAGCTCCGCGCCCCCAAAACGTTGCCCTGCCTGCACACCTATTGCCAAGGCTGCCTGGCCCAGCTGGCCGACGGCGGCCACCTCCGCTGCCCCGAGTGCCGCGAGACCGTGCCCGTGCCGCCCGCGGGCGTGGCCGCCTTCAAGACCAACTTCTTCGTCAACGGGCTCCTGGATCTGGTGAGGGCCCGGGCTGGTGGAGACCTGCGCGCGGGGAAACCCGCCTGTGCACTGTGTCCCCTGGTGGGGGGGGCGGGCACCGGGGGCCCGGCCACAGCCCGGTGCCTGGACTGCGCGGATGACCTGTGCCAGGCGTGTGCCGATGGCCACCGCTGCACCCGGCAGACCCACACCCACCAGGTGGTGGACCTGGTGGGCTACAGAGCGGGTTGGTATGACGAGGAGGCCCGGGAGCGCCAGGCGGCCCAGTGCCCCCAGCACCCTGGGGAGGCCCTGCGCTTCCTGTGCCAGCCCTGCTCCCAGCTGCTGTGCCGTGAGTGCCGCCTGGACCCCCACCTGGACCACCCCTGCCTGCCACTGGCCGAGGCCGTGCGCGCCCGGAGGCCCGGCCTGGAGGACCTGCTGGCTGGTGTGGACAACAGCCTGGCCGAGCTCGAGGCCGCCCGGATGGTGGAAAAGGAAGCCTTGGCCCGGCTGCGGGAGCAGGCAGCTAGAGTGGGGACCCAGGTGGAGGAGGTGACCGAAGGGGTCCTCCGGGCCCTCCTGGCCCAGAAGCAGGAGGTGCTGGGGCAGCTACGGGCCCACGTGGAGGCTGCTGAGGAGGCCGCCCGGGAGAGACTGGGGGAGCTGGAGAGCCGGGAGCAGGTGGCCAGGGCAGCGGCCGCCTTCGCCCGTCGGGTGCTCAGCCTGGGCCGCGAGGCGGAGATACTCTCGTTGGAAGGGGCGATTGCCCAGAGGCTCCGGCAGCTGCAGGGTTGTCCCTGGATGCCTGGGCCGGCCCCCTGCCTGCTGCCCCGGCTGGAGCTCCATCCTGGGCTCCTGGACAAGAACTGCCCCCTGCTACGGCTCTCCTTTGACGAGCCCCAGCTCCAGAAGGACAGTGGGAAAGATGAAGCGGGAAGCCAGGGAGGGGATGAAGCTCAGAGCCGCACGCAGGATGGAGCCAAGTTCGAGAGACAAGGTGGAATCCAGCCCCAGAGCAGGGATGGAGCTTACACCCCAAAGGAGGACAGAGTCCAGACACCCCAGGAAGATGGAGCCCAGACTCCAAAGGAGGACAGAGCCCAGACACCCCAGGAAGATGGAGCCCAGACCCCAAAAGAGGGCAGAGCCCAGACACCCCTAGAAGACGAAGGAGCCCAGACCCCGAGGGGCAGCAGATCCAACAAGAAGAGAAAGTTCAAAGGCAGGCTCAAGTCAATTTCCCGGGAGCCCAGCCCAGCACCTGGGCTAAACCTGGAGGGCTCTGGCCTCCTCCCCAGGCCCATTTTTTCCTGCAGTTTCCCCACACGGATGCCTGGAGACAAGCGGTCTCCTCGGATCACGGGACTCTGTCCCTTCGGCCCCCGGGAGATCCTGGTGGCCGATGAGCAGAACAGGGCACTGAAGCGCTTCTCCCTCAGTGGTGACTATAGGGGCACGGTGCCCGTCCCCGAGGGCTGCTCCCCGTGCAGTGTGGCCGCCCTGCAGGGGGCTGTGGCCTTCTCGGCTGGCGCGAGGCTCTACCTCATCAGCCCCGACGGCGAGGTGCAGTGGCGCCGGGCCCTGAGCCTCTCCCAGGCCAGCCACGCCGTGGCCGCGATGCCGAGCGGGGACCGGGTGGCCGTCAGCGTGTCGGGCCACGTGGAGGTGTACAACATGGAAGGCAGCCTGGCCACCCGGTTTATCCCGGGAGGCAAGGCCAACAGGGGCCTGCGGGCCCTGGTGTTCCTGACCGCCAGCCCCCAGGGCAATTTTGTGGGGTCCGATTGGCAGCAGAATAGCGTGGTGGTCTGTGATGGGCTGGGTCAGGTGATCGGGGAGTACCGGGGGCCGGGCCTGCACGGCTGCCAGCCAGGCTCTGTGTCTGTGGATAAGAAAGGCTACATCTTTCTGACCCTTCGCGAGGTCAACAAGGTGGTGATCCTGGATCCGAAGGGGTCACTGCTTGGCGACTTCCTGACAGCCTATCATGGCCTGGAGAAGCCCAGGGTGACCACCATGGTGGACGGCAGGCACCTGGTTGTGTCCCTCAGTAACGGGACCATCCACGTCTTTCGGGTCCGCCCTCCTGATAGTTAAAGGGCTAGGACTGGGGAGGGACTCGGGGAGGGGAGGGGAGGGGGGAGGGCTGTAGGGAGAGAGGAGGGAGGCGAGGCAGCCGTGGGATGTGGTGGCTGAGGGCAATTTTCCCAGAGGGCAGGGCCTGGTAACCTTTCAATGTGAAGTGCCAAACTGCTAACCCCTTGTGGGGGGGGGGTGCAAGGAGGGGACAAAGGGTGGTGGTGTGACCCCAGCTCTCAGAAGCAGAGGAGGAGGGGAGGAGGCGCCGGAGCTAACCGTGCCTCCTATTTGTGGGTAACTGCCTCGTCGCCACTGCCTTTATAGATCAGGTTTCTGAAATTCGTGAGTGTTCTTCGAAACCATTCCCAATGGAATGGCCCAGGGAGAGTCTGAGTGTGTTTTGGGGGGGAGAGGGGGGTTGGGGAGCTTTGGCAGAAGGAATCTGTGGAGCCAAGAAGGGCTCAGGTATGTCAGGCATGTGCCTTCTGGAAGAGAGCTGAGAACCCAGCTTCCCCTCAGACTGGAACAGGGAGATAGGCCAGGTTGCACGAGGCCTCGGATTTTGACACGGCCGCAGCCAGGAAGTAGAGGCTCCTCGGTTCATAGTGTCCCCCAGCAAAGTACAGAGAAAATCTGGCCTTCGTTTGGCTGAACTAAAGGGTGAAGGGATTTGCCCTCAGGTAGGCCATTATTGCTGAGGACAACAACCTTGCCCGAACCCTGGAGGCCAGGTGTGGGACTCCCGGGCCAAAGCAGCTGGAAAACCTGAGAAGTCAGTAGTGGGGCTGGGCTGGGTGGAGGAATGAAATCTGCCGGAGGTGAGCCGGGACCGCAAGTCTCTTGCATGGGCCATGGACGTGTTGAGCCAGGAGCAGTTGCGTGAGGACCAAAGGGAATTTAATGTAGGGATCGTGGACGAGGGAATGTTCATGGGAACCAGAGGGATTTTGGACAAGTCCAGAGGGAAAGTTCAAGGCATTCGGAGTGGGGAAAAGAAACCCCTTTTCTAGAGAGGTCATTGTTCGTTGAAGTGATAGGGGAAATCGTCAATGTCAAGCAGACAAATTAAATTATATAAAAACTTCAAACGTTTGTGTAGCAAAAAGTAATGAAAGATGAAAGGGAAACCAGTTAGGAGGAGGGAACTATGTAGAATTGGTCTGAGTAAGAGCTGAGCCTCCTGTAGAAACAGTGACCAAGAGATGTACTTGGTTCAAAAGACCCAACAGGCTGGCCCCCAGGAGGAAACACACACAGGCCAGCACCAGGAAACTATCAAATAAAGTCAACCCTTTGCATTCGCCAAAACTACAATGAAGGGTTTTGTCGTGGGGTGACAGACTCCCAGCGCTATGGAGCGCTGCTTTTTGGAGAGCCGTTTGACAATACTTGACAAAGGTAGAAAGAAATGACTATAAGACTAAGTTATCTCACTTTGGGGAATACATTCTGGGAAAATAATTCAAAAGAAAGAAAGTATTTGCACAGAGATATTTGTGGCCACCTCTATTATCACAGTCATCGACTGAAAACTGCTTGGCTGTGGGGGACAGCCAAGTAGATTGTGGTCTATAAGGACCATGAGCTATTGCTTTCACATATGACAACTATGAAAACTATTTTGAAGGATATGATGCTATGTGATGCAATCATAGCAAAAAAAAGAGAGAGAGAGAGAGAATTTGGAATTATGACCACATCATGATAACCACAAGGTAAAATTATGTCTGAATAGTTATCGAGTGGAAATAGGTTCAACATTTGTAAATAGTGATTTGGGAGACTGGGTTCTGGTCCTTTCGTGCTGTTACTCATATATGCACATTTCTACTTCAGTTATAATTGACCATTAAATAACATGTATGCTTGAATATTTACTTCAAAAACATACACCTCTATAAATGATATTCGAGAATAGCTATTGGATTTGCAAATGAATATGTCAGTTAGAGCAAACGAGACCGTTTGAAGGAGAAGCAGGAGTCTGGAGAATTCCCAGCTGGCTGGGACCTCCGGCAGGGAGGAAGGGCCATCAGAGCCGGGGGTGGGGGTGGTGTGTGAGTGTGGCCTGTCTGGTGACTGACCGAGGAACCTGCCCTGGGGAGGTATGCAGAGGTCGGGGAGTCCTCCGGGGTGATCAGATCATTATGGAGTGTCCAAAAGACAAGGGTAGGTCTTGCTGAGTTCACCAACTAATTCAGACCAAGTGGTGTTTCTAGGAAACCAACTAGTACCGGGTGAGTTGTATGGGGGTGGGGACAATGTCTTCTCTTCTTTGCAGCTCTATTTGCAGAGAGCACAGTGATGGCTCATAGTAGGTGCTCAATGAACGTCTGTGAAAAGAATTAGTATCTAGAAAAAGCACAAGACAGCAATAAGACTCTTTCCAGAGGTTTCCCACCTCAGATGTCCAAACCCCAGCCAATCAAGTTGTCCAAAACCTTGGCTTGTGGGAAATCTCTGGTAGGGGGCACTGTGGACACAGACCACCATATACCTCCCAGGGGGTGGCCCAGCTGAGTCACAAAAGAGATGAGACTGGGGTGTCTTGCTTGTGTGTGAAGGGGGACCTGGTGAGTCATAGGCTCTAGGGGATCCTATACCTTTGGGTTAGAAAAACAGTTTTGCAGAGCTGCATGGGAACCATGGGAATGTCCCCTGGCTGCAAGAAGAGAATCCCATAGATGCTTCAGAGCTATAGGGACCACTTTCCAGGAAGCTGTAGGGATCCTGGGAGGCCGGGCATTGGAAGATTGATGGAAGTACTAACTTTTCCTCATTAAGGGGCAGGGGTAGCAAGGCACAGAACACTGGCAAAAGGTGAAACGGAAGGAAAGTACCAGCATTGAGCATAATTTGGGGGTAAAATCCCTAGCACCTTAACTGTGATCTAGGAATCCTTCACAGCACGACGAGAAAGTTCTTGGTTAAACTACAGATGTTAAGAAATCAGGAACATCCTGAAAGATATAACCCCCCACACACACACTCACACCCACATTTGACTATGACAGTTAACTTGATCAATCATTCCATTTCGTGTTTGGAACTTTCCAGGTTGTGCATATACTGGTGAAAGAAGCATGCCATTCGGGTAGAGAGAGAGGGAGTAGAAAACCTCTTCCACAGTCTTTGTGTCTAATAAAGGGAAGAGAATGAGGTAGCAGAGTCCTGGGTTGATCTCCAGCTCCTCCACGAAATAGCTGTGTGATCTTGGCTAGCTTCCTAACTTCTCTGAACCTCAGTTAGCACATCAGTAATACGGGGATCACAGTAGGCACCATGCCCACCTCTCGGGGTTGTTTGTGAGTACTGGGTGAGAAGCACGGAGAAGTGCTCAAATCCGAGGTATGGGTTAGGAACAAGCTTAGCTGACCTGTGCTGACCTAACACAGACTCTTCCACTGGCTTAAGCCTGCGTGGGGGTTATACGCACATACTGTGAGGTTAAGCTTAAGAAGGTCCAGGTAGCGTTGTTACCTGTTTCTCCTTTGGAGGAGGTGTTTTGTTTTGCTTTGTAGCAGTTATTTGAAGAAGCCATATGTCTAACTGTAGGAGCAGAAGGGACCAAAGGCCAGCTTGCTAAGACTCAGTGCTGTTCTGAAAGCCAGGTGAGAACCAGCCTGTGCCAATGAAGGACTGATAAGCATAGACACTTAAGAAAAGTTCAAAATGGCAAGCATGGCCCGATCTTTTGATAATTTAGAGGAAATATAATTTGGGAGGGACTAGCTCTCCTGTCATTGTAATCTTGTTATTACTGTATCTATAAAGCCATGTCATTCTAATATATGCTACAGAGGTAGAATTCCAGAAGGGTAGAGGTCTGAGAGGGAATTCGGAAATCTTCTGAGGAAATGGGTGAGGTTGGTGATCTGGGCTGGGCAGGATTTGATAGGTGGGTGCCAAGAGCAAGGTGTTTGACCATCTGTCCGTGACAGGGCAGCTGGCAACTACAGTTATCTTGCAAATGAAATGGGAGATTGGACAGGGCACAGAGGTCCACTTCGGGCGGGGGGGGAAGGTGGGGGGAGTGGTTTTGGACTAGCTGGGGTAGAGAGCTGCCAGGGTGCGTTCAAGAAGATGTTCCTAGCAGGAGAAAAATCAAGTTCAGATGCAGGCTTAGGAAAATAGGTAACTTGACTAAAGATAGCAGAACCAACCTGCCCAACTTGTTCGTGAATATAGTTTAATTAAATGGGTCAGGACAGGAGCAAAAATAGGTTTTCCAGGGACCACGGATGGCCTTTGATAGGAGAGTGGAGTAGGTACAGTGGGGTAAAGGCAGGACCTCACCTGAAGCCCCAAGTGAGGAGCCTTCAGGACCAGGTAGAGAAGGGCCTGTATATAAAGAGGCGATTAGGAAGGAGTTTTGGGGAGATTTGGGAAGACAACCTGACTTGTCTCCGGAGAAAGTCTGAACTGGTTGGCTTAGTAGCCAAGAGAGACGGGGTTGAAAACAGAATCGGGACCTCGGTACCCATGGTGTCAGCCCAGCAAAGTTTTCTTAGTTGCCTTGGGCTGAAGAATATGCGCGGGAAGCTTTCATTCCTTCATGTACTTCCTTTCTCCTGTTTCTTAATAAATTCTCTTGAAAAAACGTGAACCTTCTCTTAGATGGATTCGTGGCTGTGGGGAACAGTCAACACCAGAGAGCAAAGGGCCCAGATATCATGACTTCCCCTGCTGTCCTTGGGGGACACTACAGGAGCAGGGTGACCCACAGTCACCATCTGTTGTCCCCCCCTAGTTCCCTCTCAACTCCTGCCTGTGGACAGAGGGGGCCTCTGGGCAGAGATGTGGATCTTCCAGGCTAACCCTTGGTGGGAGCCAGCAGGTGACCTGGCTCGGCCGACCTGCATGTGGGCACACTCAGGTGGGGTATGATTGCATGAAGGGGTGGGGTAGGGGGAGGTGGGCGAGGGACCCAGGTCAGGGTGGCTGTGCCCCCCACCGGTCTCTGCTTATTTTCTGGTTTGGAGGAACCAAACAGGCATCTGTGGGCACCTTCCAGCATGCACAGTGGGCCCTGCAGGGCTG